CATCGCACGGAGCTCTCGTGTGCCCCGGGCAGCACGAGGGGCCAGGCCTCGAGGCCGTGGCTCTCGTGGGGGCTCAGCACCGCCGTTCCCGCTGCCCAGCCCTGGGAAAGGGAGCGGTGCCATGGAAAGAGGAGCTCCCCAAGCGAGGGACTGGAGGAGCTGGAGGGACCCTCTGTGCTGCAGTGGGGTGCGTGGCCCCCCCAGCGTGCTGTGCTTGCCGGGGCAGCCCGGGGGATTTTGCTCAGCATCTCCCAGTGAATTCCCGCTGGCCGAGGACAAGGCTGGCAGGACTTGCCGCCGGTGCTCTGCTCCCACGGGGGGGGCCAGCAGCGCCTCTGTGCACCCCAACGCACCATCTCCCAGGGGCAGGGCAGCACGTGGCAGTCTCCGCTTCAAAACTCAAACACTTTCCAGAGCACCTGTGGCAAAGAAATGCTGGAAATTTGCCCCATAGCAGCCCCAAAACCATAAAGCCCCCAGAGGAATGGTGCCATATCCCCGGGTCTCCCAGTGCTTAAGCCAAGCCGGTGATTTTTTGGAGCCTGCAGCACAGGGTGAGCCGGAATGATAAGCCGTGGGGGCCGGTTTCCCTTTGAATACCATGAAGCAGGAACGAATCTGTCAGCCAGGAAAACAGGATTTTTATTTTTTGGTTTTTTTTTTTTTACGTTCATATGTCTTTAAGTGGACTGTTTGAAAATTCTGACAGAACAGATTTCAACTGGAAAACAATAATTTAATTAAATAATAATTTTTAAAAATGGTTGTGGGTTAACTCACATGAATACACAGGAAATAATCAGATTATTTACTTGGACTTTTTGTATAGAAAGGTGTTCTTATTATAATTATATTGGATCCAGTTACCTATCAAACAAAAAATATGTTTACAGAATCAAACAGGACTGCAGAGATCTAAGGGCTGAAGTAAAGGGGACACTCCCTCAGGTTATTTTCTACTCAGGGTTGCCAGTCAGAAGGAAGAGCAGGCAAAACCAGGAATATCACACATATCAACATCTGGCTGCATAGCTGTTGTTGCCAGCAGGGTTTTGGCTTCCATGACCATGAAGATACTCTTCAAAGACTGTGGGTTACGGTAGAGGGATGGGATCCACTTATCAGATAGGGGCAATGACATCTTTATTAACAGGCTAACTAACTTATTGAAGTGGCTTTCAGTTAGATTATTTTGGGAGTGGTGTCCAAAGCTTGGATACAAACAATGGCCCAGGGGACAAGCCGAAACTGCCATGGGGGTAGCTTCCACACTCCCCTCAAAGACAAGAAACAGATGTCATATCTTATCAAGTGCACTTATGCCAGTACTTGCATTCTGGGAAACAAACAAGGAATGTGCAGTCTCCATGTGCAGTCTCAGAATTACGATATCTTTGGAAGTAGAGAAATTTGGTGAGATAGCTCATGTGACTCAAGTACTGCAATGGACAGTTGCAGGCTATTCAAGAAATAAATAAATAAATAAAAGTAGAAGTGAAGCAATTGTGCTCCACATAAAAGATCATCTTGGCCTTCCAGAGATTAGCTATAGACCTGAGGACAGATCTGTAGATCAGATAGTTTGATTTTATAGGGCTGGAGAAGTTGCTATATGAGTAAGGGCTGAACCAGATGATCTCCGGAGGCCCTCTCCAGCCTATATTTCTGTATGACTTCATCATTACATGCTATTATTAGTGGAAAATGAACAGTCCTTGATAGGAAAATTTCACATTGGGACAGACTGGGAATGTCCTTCACTGGGAAATGATGTCAGGAGTGATGCAGGATTGTTCATGCAAATAACTCCTTCAATTGGATTCATGAATCTAGCTCTTACTGACATAGATAATCTGCAGTGATGTAAAACAGCCTTTTCAGCCTTTTCTCCTTTAATAGTTGAAGGAAGTTGAAAAATCAGTTTAGAGGAAACTGAGGACTCATAATGTTTATGAA